AGGGTACATAAAGTATAAAAAAAATGTATTATTTTGCAGTAATCTCAAATGTATAGAAAAGGTGCAAGAAATATACAGAGGACCCACATATCTTTTTTTCCAGAGGCTTCATTCATATTTCATCCATTCCCCTTAAGTGGCTTTTATAGATTCACTTTAAAGTCACAGGTTGATGTTTAGTTGTCATGTCTCTTTAGTCTTCTTTTTTTTTTTTTTTTTGTCTTTTTCCGTGTCCGGCAACGGATCGCAACCCTCAGTGTCGTCCCCGTACCGGACCGGGACCGGCAACGGGATCGCATCTTTAGTCTTCTTTAAACTGGAATACTTTCTTAATTTTTTTTTCTGAAATCATGACCATGAAATTTTTGAAAATTACAGATGAGTTATTTGGTAGAATGTCCCTCAGTTTGATTTTGACTAATGTTTCCTTATGATTAGATTCAAGTTGTGCTTTTATTAGCAAGACTATCCCAGAAAAGATGCTGTGTTCATCTTGCTGCCTTCTTTCAGGGGTTCCCATATCAATTGGTCCTATTACTGGCAATGTTTATTTTGGTAACTTGAATAAGGAGATATCTGCCAGGTCTCTCCACTATAAAGTTATTCATTTTTCCTTAAGTAGTATTTTGGGGGGAAATACACTGCCATCTCTTTTTCTTTTTGCCTGTCCTAAAGGATCAACTACAAAAGGGGCTTAAAAATGTCCTCTAATGTTATTTCAGGCTACCCCACCCTATTGCTTCAGCCTGAGACACTCTAGATCCAGTCATACACTCCATATCTGTAATGTTATTCTCCAGAATACCCTCTTTGGGATTTTTACAGAGGTCTTCAGATTCATTTTTTAAAAAATGTTTAAAATATATACATGTAAAAGTACCCCCTTGGGCCGGCCCGTGGCTCACTCGGGAGAGTGCGGTGCTGATAAAAGTACCCCCTCCCTTCCTAGCAGACTAGGAGGGAATGTACCTTGAGAAGCTGATAATCATATATCTTATTTAACCCATATATCTACACATCAAAAAACATTTAACTTTACTACTAATCAAAGATATGCAAATGAAAATTAAGGTAGCATTTCTTTTGCCTTTTATTTGGGCCAACATTTAAAATATTGATGATAAAAAATTAAATACTTATAAAACTCAGGCTGGGGATAAAATGGCACCCCCATACTTTGTTGGTAAGAGCATACATTGGTACACTTTTTCTGGAAGTCACTATCACAGTTTAAACTTTCATACTTTTTGATTCCCCAAGTTTTCTTTTAGGTATCCATCCCTAAGTAGATGGTTAAAGAAATATAGAAAGATGTATGCATGGAATGCCCATTCAACATTGCTTATAGTTGTAAATATTAGAAACAATCTAAATGTCTATCAGTTAGTAATTGGTTAAGAGAATTTTCTTTTTCTTTTTTTTACAATAAACAAAAATTTTTGTAAAAACAGTACAGTTATTTTCCAAGAAACAAAAACATTTTGATACATTTCTTTCCAGTCTTTTTCAATGTACCTTTTAATGTAGTTAAGATTACATTGTATATAAGCAAATTATATCCAATTTTTTTCACTTAACATTATATCATAAGTATTTTCCCATATAACTTAAAACTGACTGCTTAATATTCTATAGTGAGTATACTCCATAATTTACTTACCATTTCCTTTTTGGAAATAACAGATAGTGTTATTTGTAATGTTTTACTAATATTTGCCTGAAAGGCAGATCCTTTTCTTAAGAATAGTCCCTAAGAAGGGTTAAAGCACATGAATACTGTTGAAGCTCTTGATACCTACTGTTAAATAGTGTTCCAAAGAGATTGTGTATGTGAGGGGTCTTCAAAAAGTTCATGGAAAGATTTGGATTATTTTCTAATTCTGTTTTTTCATGAACTTTCCGAAGTACCCTCATACTTCTATTGGCAGTAAAAGAAATTACCCATTTAACTGTATCCATAGCAGAATTAAACGTATTTTAGAAAGTTGTCTTAGAGAAGATTTTATAGAGAGGGTACATAGGTAAGAAATAATAATACAATATGTTATATGATGGTAAGTGTTATGGAGTAAAATAAAGTAGCTTAAGGGGATGTCAATTTGCTTTTTTATGTAGGATGGTCAGAAAAAGGCCTCATCAATAGGTGACACTTGAAGAAGGTGAGAGTGAACAAGCCCTGCAGATATTTGGAGGAAGAGTATCGCAGGCAAAGGCCATGTTATAGAAACCTGCGTATCATTTTTGAGCAAAAGCCAAGAGCCTAGAATGGTAGGAAATGAAGTGGGAGAAGTATAGGAACCATGATATATAGGGACTTGTAGGCCTTTGTTAGAGAGTAAGAAGAGCCTTTGTAGGATTTTGAGAATGACGTTATCTGATTTAGGTTTTAAAAGAATCATTTTGACTGAGTGAAGGAAAAATTTATGGAGGTAAGTATGGAAAGAGGGAGACTAGAAGGCTATTGGAATACTCCAGGGAAGAGATGATGGTGGCTCAGATCAACAGAGTGGTAGCCAAGGGAAGTGGTGAGAAGTGGGTAGATTCTGGATGTATTTTGGAAGTAGAGCTGATGGATTGGCTGTAGGATGTGGGAGTGAAAAGAGTTGAGGATGTTCCTTTAATGTTTTTGGTTTTTTAATATGCCTGTCAGAGTGGGATAGCACTATTTGCATGTCATAGCTCTAAAATATGTTACTATCTGGTATATCAAGTGTTTCCTCATTTGGAATTTCCTCTTTTGGAATTTCCTCATTTATTAATTATGGTGGCCTAAGCTATAGTAACAAACAGACTCAAACCTGTAATGGATTCAGTACATTAGAGGGAGGTTTGAGGGTGGGGAAGATTATCATCAACATGAGGGTTTTCAGGGACCCAGGCTGATGTTATCTCTGCAGTCTCCACCACATAGTTTCCAAGGTTTCCATCCCAGTAAATCTAAAGAGGAAGACAGCATGGAGGAGCACACATGGGAGGTTTTTATAGACGTGAAATGGAGATGTCACGTATTACTTTCACTCATGTCCTATTGGAAAGAACTTAGTTGTACAGCCAAGCCTAATTGCAGAGAAGGCTGGGAAATGTAGTTTGCCCAGGAAGAGAGGAAATGGATTTTGATGGACAATAAGAGGTTTCCATCACACTTTGGCAGCCACATCAACTTTAGAACAATCTTGTTAGGTTCCTGCAGGATATTTGTCAGATTTTAGCTGTAATTACATTAAATATATGCCTTAGTTTGAAGAATTGACATCTTTATAATGCTTAGTCTTTTCATTAGATAATTTTGGTGGGTTACAAAAGAGGAAAGGTGTTCCAAACACTAAGATTATTATTATAAGCAAAGTTGTAGAGGCTGGGATGTTTAAGTCATATTAAGGGGACTGGTTTGATTGAAGTAGAAGATTGTAAGAGAAAATTTGTGAGAGATTAGGCTGTAAACAACAACAAAATGGGGAACACATTGTAAAGGAATGCTGTTGTCTGCATTCTGTACCTGGCAGGGATGTAATTATAATTATGTTGAGTAACATTTATGGAATTCTCTATGGCCTACGTTTTCCAGATGAAGGCTAAGCACCTAAAGGTTGAGTAATTTGTGTCTTTTCTCAAAGATACGAAATAGTAAATGGAAGAACCAATAAAGATTCAGAAGATGGAGAAATAGCATTTAGTAGGAAGACATAGAATGTTTCATGTCAGAGGTGTCCTCTAAGATAGACTCTAAAAGTTTAAAAGCAATTCTGTAGAAGAGGAGGCACATTTTACCTACATAAATAGCATGAACAGAGATGGGAAGTTGGAAACAGCTAGGTGTCTGGATTTGGCCATGTGTCAGGCATGTGTGGAAGAAGAGGACAAGAAAAGTTGGAAGAGTACCCAACTGTGGAAGGCCAGGATATGGTGCTGTACCTTATCATTCCAGTTCTAGTAGTGTGCTACTGAAAGCAATACAAGGCCAAAGTATATCATATACAAGGGTACTTTAAAAATTTCATAGAAAAATAGAATTAAAAGAAAATACAAATTTTTTCATATACTTTTTAAAAAATTTTTTGTTTTCTGTCTTTTCATAAACTTTTGAAGTATCCTTATATATTCCAGTGTTACTTAGAGTCTTGCATCTTGAGAATAAAATTATGATGATGGGAATTATTTAACCTCCATAATATAAAGTTCAGTTTTAGCTTCTCTAATAATCTCTTCTAAAATTTACTAATAAGAGAACTATTACTCTCTCAGGGAGTAACAATAGAATATAGAATAGTAGGATATAAAACTAGAAACCCAAGAAGCTAAGCAGAGTCAGGTCTGGTTAGTACTTGGATGGGAGACACCTAGGAGTATTGAGTACTGTAGGATTTAAAAATAAATAGGTAAATAACCCAAAAACCTAGAAACCCGTGTGGAAAGATAATTTAAGGGGTTTTATTGAGACTTCCATTAGCGGTAAACCTCAGGTTATTTAACAGTGTTATTATTTGAAATGTAATTGCAGGCCTTTGCCCTTTTTGTCAAAACCAAAGAAGTTCCAGCAAAAAGGAGTTTTGAATGTAAAGAAAAATGGTGGAAATGCTGTCAGCAACTATTTATGGACCAGTCCAGCATCCATAGACATGTGGCAACACAACATGCTGATGAAATTTATCACCAGACTGCTTCTATTTTAAAGCAACTGGCTGTGACATTGAGCACCCCAAAGAGTCTTACGTCTGCAGACAAAAAGAACCCTCTAAAAGAGTGCCTTGTCCATAGCAATGAAGTGTCTTCCTGGCTCCCTGATATAAGCTGCTTTAGCCCTGATGAACTGATAAGGTAAGATTTTCATTCTGTAGTTTGGTTTGATTTTAAAATATTTTCCCAATGACAGTGAGATACTGTAACTCACCCAATAAAATGGCAAAAATGAGAAAGACCAACTCTGCCAAATGTGGATGAGGATGTGGAGCGAATGGAATACATTAGTGGTAGGAGTGTAAAATGGCACTACTGCTTTGGAAAACTGCTTAGCAGTTTCTTTTTAAAGTTAAACATGCATTGCCCCTGTGACCCACTCCTGGCTATATAACCAACAGAAGTAAAAACATTTGTCTACTAAAAGCCTTGTGCAAGAGTAGCAGTTTTATTCACAATAACAAAAAAAAGACTGGAAACTACAACAAATGTTCATTAACAGGAGAGCAAATAAACTGGTATAGTCATGTAAGA